TGTGTAATTGATCGAGCAGGTGATCGACCATACATATATACGTCACCAAATGTTGTAGCAATATTTAGAATGATCGAACTAGGATATTCTTCGGTAATTGGCAGCAGCTCAATGAATGCCGGGCGAGTAGCTTTTGTGACCTTTGGTATCATTACTGAGTAGATGGTATTCTCGGTATCACTGGCCACTTTTCCCTCAAACAACTGTCACGGTGGTCAGGTTCTATTTAAACATGGGGCTTTGATTGCCAGAAAATTTTTTCTTTTCAATAAAGCTTCGGTAAACTTAATGTAGAAAGCCAGAATTGAAATAATTGTTAATTCGGGCTTGCGTGTTCTGTATGTAAACGATCAGGCGTTTCAGATGCAATCTGATAATGGAATCGTTCAAGCTTGGTGACCTACGAAGCTGAGGTGGAAAGCATGTACGATTAATGGACGACAGTGAGGTTTGACAATGAGGACGATTGATAAGTCGATTTTTGTACCGGCCAAGTTGCGGAATGATTACCTATATCCGATATTATTCGAGATAATTCGATGTATGGTTATCTCAATCAGCTGTGATTCCAACCCTCCATATTACATATCAGTGAGAAGCTCTCAGTGAGCACAATGCGAAACTTTTGTCAAATTATAGAATTTCTGAGACTGTCTGTTTTATTTTTTCTGAAAACGTCATAGCGGAACTGAAACTGATCTGTCCGAATAGTGTCTATTTGCACTTGGGACAACATGACTGTGCGTAGAATTATTGATATTACGCAGTTATAACATGGAACTATGAAACAAAACAAAAATGTTGTAAGTTCCTAAGCTTGACTTTGTATTCCTGCTGTGCTGTCAGTGAGCTTTCCATTGATATGCAACCAGATAATCGCAAAGGCAATGGTATTAGGCTTAATGAAATAGTATAGAACATAGTGGCGAACTTAGCGAAGTGAAGTTGCGCAGAATTAATGAACTAGCGTAATCCCTCCATCATAAAACAAAACTGATTCACTGATTTGACAGACTTTGCTATTGCATTCAATGAGAATTATTCAATATTCAGTAAATAATGAAAAGCATCGGAAACGGTACAGAGAAAAACGTCTGCTGATGTATACAGTCAAATCGCGACCACACGATGCGCGTTGAATTAATGAGTTATCGTATTTATGAAAATGGAATCATGCATTAAAACGGAAGTCTCAGAAATTTCGTAGCTTGATGGAAGC